GAATGGTATCTATTAATTAATAATACGCTGTTACAGGTTCGCTTCGTATATTTGCTGCAGCTTCTTCTGTTCCTTTGACCTGATTCTTTCTCTGATGATATCCACGGTATCCGGTCATTTTAGAATTTTGATCCACAACTTGCTTACGTTCCCACTGCCTGAGGCGATAACCGCTTCAAAGAAGTTTGTAGATAAGCACAGATGTAATGGCAATAGGTCAGAATTTGTCTTAGAGGAAGCTAAGCTGTACTCACCTGCAGAAATGTGGCAAGTCACCGATCGACTGCGGCAGTGCATCGACTATCATCGGAAACTCGTCGAGTAAGAGACCTTTCAGCACTACGACACTTTAATTTATTGTCAATGTCGAGTATCTAGAAACATGAAAGCAGTCTTATCTGCTGACGAAGCTTGGCGATGATTGACGATTGGTGGTCAATTTCAGGTTCACGGGGGACATATCGGAGGCATTCGGTCCAATGCTGTTCGTATATTACTTGTTCCACCAAGTGAGCGGGTGTTTGCTGCTTCTCGAATGTTCACAGTTGGTTCGTATTCTTCTGTATATTCGAATTATTTATCGGTTGCCTTTAACTAGAACGAAGGTACAATAAAGTTCACGATATGTAATAGAATGAGTATTGCATTGACAGAATACGGCGGCCTTGGTTCGCTACGGAGTACTGACCGTGGTACTGTATCAGCAGCTCATCCAGCTCTCCGTGATCGTCGAGTCCGTCGGGACCGTGGTGAGTGCGGCGACATGGCACCCCCGGGCCGCGGCCGCGCGGCGGTGCAGTGTTGCTAGGAGACCGTATGTTCGCAGACGGGGCGGCTGAAGGACGCCGTGTACGAGGTGCCGTGGGAGTACATGGACACGAGCAACAGGAAGACGGTGGCTATATTCTTGATGAACGTGCAGGAGCCGCTCCACGTTAACGCACTCGGCCTCGCCAAAGTAGGCGTGCAGTCGATGGCCGCGGTCAGTCCTGCTCCTCTGTAATATGTTTACCAAACGATTTTTATTTAATTATGTCGCAAGCCGCGTGGAACGTTCCTGTGGACCCACAGGTATCACAACTTGCTTGAATACCTTCGGACACAGAGCCGGAGTCTCGATTGCGTTGTACGGCGAGTGCGCGATGCGCCCGAACCGGAGCGAACGACGGCCTGGCGCTGGGTGGTGACCTGTGGTGCGGGCTCGCAATACCGCCTACCAATACCGCCTACCACCAGTATATCTACACTGGTAATCGCAGTGCGCTCGTATAATACTCAGAGATCGTTTCTGCCCTTTCTCCGATATATCTTAAGTCGCTTATCACCAACCTGAAAACCTCCGATCTACTTGAAAATGCACACATTTCAAGGAGCGATGACAAAGATGCTATATATATATTTTTTTTTTTTTTTGGCCTAAGAGTCTGAACGAAGCCACCAGGATTAAATTCTCTTTCATTTTGAATATTAGTTTCAAAAACATTTCAAATTAAAATTTTTGTTATTTAATTTTTATAACCATTTCTTTTTCCAGATCCTGAAAACATCATTTTCCTACTTCACTTTCCTTCGTACCGTGTCCGAATGAGCCGCACACCGCACGCCGCACGCCGCACACCGCACACCGCACGCCGCACGCGCCGATAACTTGACCAGCAGCTAGCAGTAGTGCAGCAATCTGTTGTACGAGTAGCTACGAGTGTAGTGCGTGACGTGACGTGCCTTGCTAAACGTATTCAATTTATAGCACTGTTAGAGCTCATTCTTTGAGCAACTATTTTTTCACTATATAGTTACAACACAAGAATAATACAATTGCTTGTTTTCAGTTCAGCGAACATTTAACTGTAGTGTTGTGGTTTGATTTGTTGTGAATTGAGTTGCGATCGATTGTGACGTCCCGACGAGTAGATCATCGAGCCTGACGTGGGACTACGGCGGCGGCGGCGGCGGCGGCGGCGGCGGCGGCGGTCGCTTGATGTTGTCTTGAAGGGCCCGTGCTGCCGGCGTCGGTCGATTACCAAATTAGTTAATGTAATTTTTAGCACTCGTTGAACTGAATTGCATTTTCTTTCGATAATAAATATAAAAAACACATTTTGATTTTTATTATACATAGAACAATCGTAACAGTAATATTCTACAAACGTTCCTTTAGAGCCGGAGCGCAGTCCCGCGCACTATCGCGACCCCTCGACGCTGCCAGCGTGAGTTTCCAGATATTATGTTATTTGCGTGTTACCCTCGCGTCGTCCCACTTTTGAATTAACTTCCCTGTACAGCGTTTCCTGAGCGCTATCACACGTTCATCTTTAAGCTACGACAGTGACCGTAGACGGACTATAAAAAGCACAATAGAGCATATACCAAGACTCTGGACTCAGGACTCGGCATGTAGATTTTTAAAATGCTCAATTTTTTAAAGCAGAACTTTGCGCTCCTCGTGCGTTCGTTCTTGTTTCCTCCTCGTTCGCTCTTCGTTCCTGGCGAGTAGGTATAAGCGATGTTATAAATTGTAGCTCGGATGAGCGAACGAGAGATATTGGGTTCTACGTAGTTAATGTCTCAAGCGCGATTTTCAATATTTGGCCCAAGAAATCCCCTAAAAACTGGGTGGCTTCACCTTATACAGTCTTATATCACCTTATACTTCAGACCCGCTTATAGGCTTCTTTATACAAGATTTCATAAGTCTGGTCTCATGAAGAGCAGGTCCCACCTTTGCCTGGGATCCAAAGTCGACGAGCAGTGGACTTACGGTGTCGCTAGTGTTGTCGTCATCGGACCTCTTCGACACTTGCGTAGTGATCGCTGACTTGCGTAGCACGTAACAACTCTCTACGGAGAGAGTGTGGAGCCAACTGACAGAAACAATTGATGTATGCCGGACCAGCACTCGTTACCGGAGTAAAGAGCTCAGCATATTAATCTGAATGCCACTCAGTTAAAGTACAGTACACTATCAGAGATGTGTTGAAATCATCGTGGCCTAAAGGATAAGACATCCGGTACATCCGTATCCAGCGATACACCGGTGTTAGAATCCCGCAGGCGGGTACCAATTATTCTAATGAAATATAATACGTACTTATCAAATGTTCACGATTGACTTCTACGGTGAAGTAAAGGAATAAAATCGTGTAATAAAAATCAAAACCCGCAAAATTATAATTTGCGTAATTTCTGGTGGTAGTTCCTCCTGTGAGTCCGCACGGGTATGTACCACCATCCCGGCTATTTCTGCGGTGCAGCAGTAATGCGTTTTGGTTTGAAGGGCGGGGCTGCCGCTGTAACTATTAGGAGTGGGCGATATAAATCGTATCTAGATTCAATATCTATATATCGCAGCAATATCGTTGAATCCGATATCGCCCCGCACGAAATCTATATATCGATATCGGCCGATACACGATATTGCTCGATGTGATGCGCATCGGCATATCGTACCGATTCGTGAATCGAAATCTATATAACGATATCAGCCGATACACGATATTACTCGATGTGATGCGCATCGGCATATCGTACCGATTCGTGAATATCGGCAATATTCGTTTGGTTCGTATCGAATCGGCCAGAGTGAGTGAGCGCACGATAGGGATATCATGTGATGAATGAAACAGAAACAGGCATTATCCATACAATTGTAAACCTTATATTTAAGTCCATATGTCTGTAGATTATTCTTAGCGTATCAGCAGGATACAATTTAGGAAAGAAGTTTCAACTTTCGACCCTAACTTGAATGCAGTATAGCCTATTTGCATCGTTGAATTTAATTTCACGCGCTTTGACCTTGAACTAGAATTTTTGGACAAGTGTTTATAAATACTTAAAAGTTTTTTGTGTTTGATTTTTAAAGTACACATTTTTCTATTTTTAGTTGAATCCAAATAATTGAGTTTATTTCTTGTGTTTGTATTAAACTTTTGAAATCTACACTCTTTTGGTATATTTTGTAATTTTAAATTAAGACACAAAATACTAAAAACTGAAAATAATGTAGCCAGTCCTAAGCCTGATAAAAGCATGAAGGAAAGTTTTTTTTATATTTTTATTTTCATGTTCTTTTTATTACTTTAAGATCATATTTTAAATTGATATCAGAAAACCAACCGTATAACGTTGACTTAAATCTATATCTACTACGATATTATATCAGCGTATCGTTTCAAATCTCAAATATCATGAATCGAGAAAATCTACTAGCATCCATCAATATATAGATTCAGAAAATATATAGATTCAATATCCGATATTGATCCTCGATATATAGATACGATTCGATACGCGGCAAAACCGATATTACCCACTCCTAGTAACTATACCGAGACCTTAGAACTCATATCTCAAGGTGGGTGGCGGCATTTACGTTGTAGGTGTCTATGGGCTCCAGTAACCACTTAACACCAGGTGGTCTGTGAGTTCGTCTACCCATCTAAGCAATGACAAAAAAAAAATGATGTTTTGCTTCCGCTTACATAGTATACGGAAACTTAGAAATGGGTTTGCTCAGTGATGTTTCTGAGGCTTTCAATTATTGCGAGCTCTTCTTGACAATCAGACTTGTCCCGTCGACTAGTGATGAGTAGAATGATCTTGGTCTTGCATTATCGAGCCTTGGTCTTGGCCTTTTTTGCAAGACCAAAACCAACCAAATGTGTATAAAACTTAACAAAACAACAACAAACTCTACTACACAAACTAGATAAATGATATGGAATATTCTAAAATGAATGAACAATAAAAAAGTTCATTGCGTTGTCTGTAATATACTAAGAGAACAACATTTAAAACCTTTTTAAATTCGCCTTTTTAAATTATTATTTTAAAGAGTGTTATTTATTAAATTATATATTAAAATATGCAAAACTGAACTTCTCCCTTCACTGGATGACAAGTGAAGGAGGTCAGTGAATCCGTATCTAAGAAAAATCTGTTCAAAATTAGAGAGTTTTAAAGGTTTTAAATACTAAATGTTTTTGTATACATGTCTTAAGTTAGAATATTTGCAAAAGTCTTCACAGATTTTGGCCAATGTAGAGCGCAATAGTATCTATATTACAACACTTGGGAAGGAAAATAAGAAAAGTCTCAGATCACGTGTAATGTAAATGTATGCAATGTAAACATGTGATCTGAGGTTTACTTTTTTACTTTCTAAGGGCTGTATACTATTTTTTTGTCCGACGAAGGCGGAAAGCGGCAACGTTGCTTAGCGCAGTGGGACGAAAGTTGCCAGTTTCCGCCCGGAGCGGAAAAAATAAAAATAATCATAAACGATGCTCACGAACAGCGTCTAAAAGAATACAGAAACATCTGGCACCGTCTATTCGGTATCTGGCACGTCAACAGCCACACCAGACGTGCAGGCGGCGGAGGCGGCAAGCGTACTGCAACTAATATTAACAGATTTCTGTCTCCTAGCACTTATGCGCCGGCCTTAAAGCCTCTTTGGGATATTTACAACTTGTGTTTAGAGATATCGTACACGCTGGTCCACACGAATAGTTCTAGCACCAAAAGAGGGAGCGGAACAGATGTGAGCGGATTCAAATCCGTGGCGAACCTTTCGTCTTGAAAGAGCTTGAGTCGGCGATAGAACGCAGTATGCAAGGGCAGGTTTCATCCCAGCTCTCGGATGCGCAGCATAGGTTCAGACCGGCGCGCGGCACAACCAGCAACTGCACACTGCCACACGTTGACGCGGTAGTGCAGTTGGTGCCGCTTACTTTGACTTTAAATAAGCTTTCAACTTTTTTGACAACATCTTACTTGAGTTCAACTAGACAACGAACTAAAACTTAGAGTGTATCTTGTTAATGTTTGTAAAAAGCTAGTAAGAGTTTGGGCGTCTTACTTCACCATAAAACTGCTTTACAAACGTAAAGGCTTTAGCAACATTGTATGACGCCCTAATAAGAAGTCAACTAGAATTTATCTTGGCAGTATAGGCTCCTCGTGAGTCGAAATATCTATCCAATACCATGTTGGAACAGACACAGAACAAGTTCACTCGTCACTTGTACATACAATTACACGACACCTATGCTTTCTATCCATTGATATGATTGTATGGTTGGGTATGACAAGCTGATGAAACAAGGCGCTGGGCGTACTGAAAACGTTCCTTGGCATTGTTAACGCCCCAATTATACCTCCTAAAGACCAATACTCACTTACTAACTAATACCTCAGTTTGTTCGTCGGTTAACAAACGGCTTTTGTAAGCACTGGCCCTTTAAATTTAGCATTTCGCCGATAGATGGCTCTATTTTAATTTTTTGTACATAGACAATATCAATGTTTATTTCTCCGTGATGACCAAGACGTAAAACTGACTACATTATATTATTTGAATATAATCTTACTCATATATAATATATATTTTGTAGAACATAACTTTATATTATGATCTGTACGTTCGTCCGTTGTAGAGTTTGTATAGTGAATCTGTGGCAGCCGGCGCGGCGGCGTCGCGGCGTCGGTCGATACGAGCGGTGCGCAGTGCGCGCACAGTGTGCACCGCGTCCGGCCCGGACACACGGGCAGCCGCGCGCGGTCCGGCCCCTGAGCGTTGTTCTGAGCCTCATTCGGTGGACATGACTCCGGTTGCTACGTCTTGACAATAAATGAAACTTCCACACCGAAAGGTAAATTGAATGGTTTATTAAAGTTTAACATAGAATCAATATGTCTTATCCTTGCCTTCTGTTACTTAAACTCGTAAGGGTTCCAGATGGGAGCTAGGTCCGCCATATTACAAACTACATACATTTTTGTCCTGTTCATAGTATTCACATGTAATTACTAACATTACACGCTACACCGTAATCCAGAGATGTGATATTTATTTATTAACTACACGTAGGACCAACGACTTAACTTAACAGCAGAGTAAGATATAATAGATTAAAATAACAACTAATAGAAACACTGAATTAAAGGTCATCACTCACCCATATAAACAAGTTGCAACACAAGTGAATCGAAAAATTAATCCAAATAAAAGGAAAACAACCAAACTATGTATAAATATTACAAATCAATAAATGTCAGTCGTGTTGCACATCACCGGCATGCGGCACCTGCCCTCGCACCCCTCGTATCTATGCACTGAACACAAAGCATCTAGCTTCGGACTCTAAGAAGTTGTGGGTCCGTACGTACCGACACTAACCGAATTGTTTGTTCTTTCCTCGTGGACCATCCTCATAATATTCGGCAACAAAATCACACTGTAGGCAGAATATACCTATATATTTTTGTGGAGAAGTATAAATACAACAAAATAGTGTTGAAAGCACTAAATTATAAGAAACGTTCTTACACCTCTTACAGTATTTACCAGTCACAGCACTGTGCACACTCTTCCCCCTACCGACAAAGTTGCATGCTTAGACTCATCAGACCACGGCGGCTTTAAAATGAATTTATAAATTTTCAGATTCAACACAAAACTACAACGGATACATGAATAATAAATGAAATTTCTCATTTTCAATCGAGAGTCTCCGCGGGGTCCTGAGAGACTCAGGAGACACACGGGATCGATCGATCTAACAGTAACCCATCAGCAGTCGTGACGTCACACTCTGACGTCATACGCTGGCGCCGGACTGAACGAGCAGACACCAGCGCATGTTCTGGTCGCGTCGTCGCTGCGTTCAGACAGACTTATCGAAGCGAGAGCCAGGTCGGTTGCCCCCGACGCCGGGGATAATTATAATACGATACTTCTTTGGGTTATATTTCTAATGCTAAATTGTATGATATATTTATGACTCAAATGAAACTCTACAATTGAATCTAACTAGATAGCTAGCTTCATACATAATATCTTATTAATATATATCTGTTCAGGCTTCCAGGGACCCTATAAACACAACGACACATTTCAACTGCTGATAGCTCCATGCTACTGACATGCACAGTTCAAACCCTGATGCAGTGATTCGTGCGAAGTCCGTCTTCCCGGCCGCTGTCCTCGCCGGAGCGGCAAGAGCGCCGTTGGTGGCTGCTGGTTGGTGGCACCGCCGGCACCGCGTGTGTCGTGTGCACCATGTGCACGCGACGCACTGACGCTCAGCATTGGGAAGCCGAAGATATCACGCAGGTAGGTAGCCCGTTTTTAAGCTCTCTAAGAAATGCACCGAACGTAAAATACATTTTCATTCTGATAAGGACTCCAACAGTTCATAAACTTGGCTTTCCCTTCCGGATGAGAGGCACCGAACTCTCGAAACATGTCCCGAAACCATAATAAAGGGATTCTTATTCGTGCGAAGACGGACCGGCCCGGACATTTAGGTTTCAGAAGTATAATTTATTAAAAAAAGAAATTCCTGGTTAAAATAAAGATTTATATATACATATATAAAAAAAACAACTAATCTATAATCGCAGTAACTTTAACTTTGGGGGAGGCCTATATCCAGCAGTGGACGACTAAAGAAAAAAAAAACTGAACAAGGTGTAAAGTACTTACAGAGTTTAATTGCAGCCACTTCCCACCTAATTACCCTTGAAAGAGCTTAGAGAGCAGTATTGAAAACTATTTTAAAGAAACAATTTCGGTATCCCACAGACACTCTTTTTAAAGAATTTGGGGTCCTGAGCGTGAGAAGAATATTTATCCTTAGGGCAGCCCTTGATTACCACAGAGAAGTTCCTAAAATTACCAACTTCAAAGTCCTTGCTACAAAACGTACTCCTGTAATCCCGACGCCCTCAGTTAGGACGGCTTTTGCTCGTCGTTTTAGCTCCTACATGAAGCCTTACTTATATAACAGACTCAATAAAAAATACAAAATTCTTAACCTAAATTACGAAGAAGTTAAAAGAAAGTTAACAAAAGAACTGCTTAATTGGTACTACTCTTTTTCGGAGGACTTTCTGAAAAGCATTAAGTAACCCTAAACACGTATAGTAAAAATCATTACACCTGTTCCTTTTCTAGTGTGTGTGTGTGCATATTCGCTTAACTATTTTGATTTACTCGTATATTCAGCACCGTTATTACTAGTTTTAAGATACTCCTGTAAAAAACTCTCCACGAGACAGGCAGGCAGTGCCTAGTGTGGAGAGTTTTTAGCAAACTGTTATGTGTAAATGTTTTCAAGGTTAATAAATAAATAATTATTATTATTATTATAATTACAAATTATTTAGCGCTGACATGTCCCGTCGAGACTTCCGCGGTCTCAAGACGTCAGCCGTCAGCTGGCCACTCATGCTTTATTTTATAAATTTACTAGCTGACCCGGCAGACTTCGTAGTGCCTCAACCGATAAATAAAAGACCTAAACTTTTGTATAAAATAAACTTAAAACAAACAAAAGGAATCCGTCCGACGGGGGACACATCAAAGGAAAAACAAAATTTTTATTTTTATTTAATTCCGAGTATTTTCATATTTATCTACCTTTTAAACCTTCTCTGGACTTCCACGAATAATTCAAGACCAAAATTAGCCAAATCGGTCCAGCCGTTCTCGAGTTTTAGCGAGACTAACGAACAGCAATTCATTTTTATATATATAATAAGTATATATAGAAGATTGTATATGTACGAGTAGTAAGTACCTGGTTATCAAGGAGACAAAAGATATTTGACAAAGGCCTGAGTCACGCTAATGACATAATGGTATATCGTAAAATAATCTGAGAACCTTGTGTGGACCCGTTGTGACCGAATGATATGGAAGTAACGATCAATCAGTAGTATCCTGAGCTCAAACACGCTGAATGACTTATCTAATGTTTCAAATTCGTTTTCACTATCTTTAATGTTAAATATATATACTACCGCTGTGTCTGTACGTACGTACATTCTCATAATGATGTTATTGAATCTTAAACAGTACTCGTGAGGATCAAATGGAAATGGCTCTGTGGACAGGGCACAGCCGGGTCACTACTCTGGAGGCTCGGCCTTGGAGTGCTTCATCATTCAAACCACCTTTTCTTTTTTATTTACTTAATAAATAATAAAAAATACACAAAGTACATTTTTGTTTCCTTTACTTACATACATCTGACACCTGAACCTGTTAACCAATAAATATATCGAGGGATGGAAAGCTATTTGGTTTAAGAGACATTTTTGCAAATTTACACCACCAGTCACCAGGATCACCAGTTTGGAAGAGGTCGGGTTTGATCTATGCCACGCGAAGCCTTTGTCACTCCTCGACTTACGCGAACTCTTTTGCTTTGTTACGATCTATTGCTTGTGCCTTCGACTTCCTACCGCTTTATCAGTGCCTTCTGTTCTCCGTACTTTCTCCTTCTGCTAAATATACTGTATGTGATTGGGAATAAACTGTCTACCCTATAACTGACTCCTTATTGTGCCGCCCGGCACTGGTGACCCTACAATCAACCACCAACCACTTCCAAAGGTTCAGCTCGATCTATCGTATGCTGCTGGAAGCTCAGTGACGGGATGATATTGAAAAAATATTACGGACGTTGCCTGGTGAAGAAGTTTGGCTACGGGTGAACATAAGGAAAAGCTCAGTAAAATATAACACTATATTTATGATCACGCCCTAGAGTTCCCATCAGAGTTTTGAACTGTCTTAGTTATGAGTTCGTGCTGCTTACACGTATCAACCAGGTTCGTTGGATGTGCGCTGTTGTAGTTGATAGTGAAGGGACGTGGGCTCTGATCAACCCAAACACAGTAGTGAAGAATCTCTTACCCTACTCGTATTATTTTGATTTATCCATCGCTCGTTGTGCACACAGTACATAAGAGCTTAAAGGAGCATCGGAGGAGCACAGCACAGAACAGGTTGTTGACTAGCGTCTTTTTCCCCCCAACCTAAGCGCTGATAGCCCAAGAGGCTATCCTAGCTACGCTCGAACGGTTAGAAGAGCTCACGGGTTCAACCTAAGAAAACTTGTTAGCACTAGCCCTATCAAAAGCAGTGCCGAATCTGTCACCGGATCGGCACCACGACCCATTGAGAGGATCCGGCGAGGAACTCAGTGGGTTAGGTCTATGGGTTAGGTTGCAAGTCGAAATCTTCATCAAATTCGACTCGTCCCGAAAACTATAGTCAACAACGACGAATTAAACGCGGTATAGGAAACTGACGGTATTCAAACTGCTGCTGAGTCAGCAGCAGCTTCCGAGGTTAATGAAAATAATGAAGGTCCATTTGCGTCAAATTGGCAAGGTAAAACAACTTGTGAGTTGGTGCCGCAAGAACTGAACGATGGACACTCTCTCAAGTAGACCGTTCCACAGATGGCGGCCGGCTCTCGCGCGAATGTCTATACATATGAGTATTCGAATCCGACTAACTTCGACAGACATTGAAACAAACTGTCGACCTCGATCAATGGTAATATTTGTCGGGGACCCAAATGAGCCATCTAGTCTGATATACTGATAGCACAGTATAGTATTCAGCCACGAATGCAGTCGTTGTCTTCAATCGGTGTTGGATGTGGCCAACGCGCAAACCAATACACTTTGTGAATAGAAGTGGGCGTCCAATCAGGTCTATCTGGATTTGTTGAATAACAAGGCGCTTGGTAGTTTAAAGATGTCCAGTGCGAAAGACACATACACTAACCGGCATAGGAGCTGTGTAAACAAAACAAAAAAAATAGGTACGCCTCGACCGTTTGTCTGAATGAAACTTAGAGGTTCTCAAGCACAATTTTTGTACTCCTGTAGTGCAGCTCCAATAGGCTCGTTGACGAGGAGGTGGTCGCCGCGAGGGCGCCATGGTAGTTCTTGGATGCTGAACGCACAGACTTCGGACGCCGAATCGTACACTAGATAACATGACCGCGTCTTAGCCGCTCATTTGCTGACCACTTGCTTCGTCTTTGCCGCTCGGTTTTGTTCTCTGTCTTGGTGTGTCTGCAGTATCTACAAAAGGAAGGTTGTCCCCTGAGCGACCGAACTTCAGAACGAAATAAATTATTTAAGAAAAAAAGAACAAAAAAATCGATTTATTAAAAAAAGTTGAATAATGAAAAACAAAACTATTTAATAGCTCTCTAACATTCGAGAATTATTTTAAGCAAACTACAATATATTTATTTAATTTGGAAAGTCCATTTGTAATAATGAGTGACCACACTCTCCTCTCATCGCATCACCCCTTTCAGAGGGATGGGGCCGCAGACAGCTCCCTCGGCCCCTCCTGCACCCGACTACGTTCCACCGCAGTCGGCGAGAGAGCTATCGATCGAGTCTGAGCACGACCGACCCGTGACTTCCTCGCTTTTATCTCCGACTAAATGATCGACAAAAACAGACACAAATCAGATCGGAGATATCGAAACCACATACTTACACTTGTCAAGGTTTTGATGTAGTCATTGCAATAGTCATCGGCTCCTTTATTGAGTCTGGTGTTCCTCTATTGAAGGGAGGACTGCACGGTTTCCCTGTCAAATTTAGTTCAGTATAACTTTATTATTAGGTTTATTGTACTGTTATTGTTTCTGGACAACACCCTACGCAAAACGACATGGGTGCATGAGCCGCTCCGCTTGGCAATAGGGATGCCTAAACCATATACTAGCAAACTACAAAAACTTATGGCGAGAGAACATACATCATCATAGATCCTCAATCATTAAGACGAGGAGTAGGCGACCTGTGTGGGTTCGAGTCAGACATGCGACAACTGAGTGCCATCTTAGATATTGCAGCATTTGAGAGACTAAAAACCAGTTTGAGGACAGGAAGTTTTTATTATTATTCTTGTTTCAACATACTCTTTTTTTTATTGCTTAGTTGGGTGGACGAGCTCAAAACCCACCTGGTGTTAAGTGGTTACCGGAGCCCATAGACATCTACAACGTAAATGCGCCACCCACCTTGAGATATAAGTTCTAAGGTCTTAGCATAGTTGCAACGGCTGCCCCACCCTTTAAACCGAAACGCATTACTGCTTCACGGCAGAAATAGGCTGGCTGGTGGTAGGTACCTACCCGTGCGGACTCACAAGAGGTCCTATCCCCAGTAAAGAGGTCCCACCACCTTTACTGGTCGTAGGACCTAGCTACTCCTACACGTAAAGATCAATGCCTAATCTTTACATTATAAGATATGGCTATGGACATGGCATAAACCGACCCTGACCCGCAGCCTTTACATGAGTAAGTATCTAGTACTGGCGGTGAGGAGGTTACGAGGAACATTATCATCATTGAGTCTTCGATCGTATTTATATCTCAGGATGAACGGCACCGTTCCATTTCCAGTTGGTACGAGCGCCGGTAGCCACTTGATGCTACGTGAGCGGCGAGCTCGACTGCTGGGCTACGGCAATGAAACGAACCTCACAGGCCATTAGACCATTTATATTTACAACTTCATTAGTGTTGGAAACGTACAGACACCGCTCGATGGGCAGTTCACGCGGGGTGCGTTGACGCGCTACAGGCTTCTCATTGCGAACATGTGTACTACAGATTGGATGGGATGGAGCATCGCAGCGCGTGCGGAGGGACAAGTGTAAACAAAGGCAGGCTGTAGACGTCGCGTATCGATCGCGGAGAGAGCGCGGAGGGAGCGCGGCGGCTGCTGTCTGGGCCCCGCCCCCGCCTCGCGACCCTAACACATGCTGTGCATTGCGTCCACGCAAACCAAAAGAAAGACACACCACACCACTAAAACAATAATAATATTATTACATCTGAAATTAATTTATCAGAGTGCTCATCTTACTCACTTGATCTACGACTATTCAGCTATTTAATTGGCACAACAGAAACCATTATTCTAACACAGTTGAGACTCAGACCTCATGGCTCAAAATGAGTGGCGGCATCAAGTTATGTTGGGTATAAGCACCGATAACCACGCCTTACCAGGTGGGTCGTGCGCTCGTTCGCACATATTGCATTAAAAAAACAGAGCCAAACAACAAAACTATCAATTTCTGCTTCATTTTTAACCTTGTTTTTATTTAGGATTTCAATGGATTTTATAGATTAATTATCTATTTATTTTGGTAGTCCAAAGGGATACATACATAAATACCAAACACGTACATATGTATATCACCATGAACGACGTTTCACAGCGATGACTTAACACTGTGTAAAAAAACAAAATTTAAAAGGCGCTTTTACAGCAGTAAGAGCCCACTACGCCCACGCCGCCCACTGCGCGTGTTGTGGAGCGCGCTACCAGCTCAGGGTCGGCAGAGACCCTGGTAGAGCAGAGGTGTGTTCGGGATCCGTTAACACCATCTCTAAATCTTCTAATTCAATTGTGTGTGAATAAACCCATGTGTGACATTGTACATACAAATGTACCTACGAGTATATGTAGCCTTTCTACTCGAATAATATCGGCATTCCAAATTTTATTAAATATACAATACGCGTGATGTGTTATTAAGTTATATAATTAAATAATGTTGAAGTGCACTCTACGACGATGAGGGCGCCGGGCGCGAAAATCGGCTACGTTGAACGATACTGAGTTAGCATTCCCGCTAGGCGCTGGCGAATCGATCAGACGACCGAGCCGCCCCGAGCCGCCCCGAGGCTCCCCGAGGCTCCCCGAGGCGCTCCGACGGCCGCGCGTCTCGTCGAGCCCGCTGAGTGCCGCCGAGAGCGCCATTCCGTGCCGGCGAGCGAGGGCGCGAGGGCGTGTCTAGATGCGCTCAACGCGCTCTCAACACACTCACTGCACTCTTGGTCATCATCATGTTTTCTCGTTCGCAGGACGTGGATGCGATGTGCAGCCGATCCGTCCCGACAACGCTGCGGCACGGCGTGGTCTGCAACCCGACCGACCGACAGCGCACGTGCCGCCCTCTGCAGGGCTCAGGACGAGTGAGAATTTTCTTATTGCGTTATTTTTAATAGAAACGATGAGCGCTTTTGTCGTGATATAAAGTATGTGTGGCGACTCGTATAATATCGTTGTTCCCTAGGCACCGCTAGTCGTCTCATGTCTGTGTCGTACAGTGAGGTTGCTCGCAGCCGTCCTGCTGTTCGCTATCTTCCCATCGACAGCAATCCTCGTGTGAGTTCAGTCTGCATCCATTGTGTTTAGATCGGCTTCGCGCAACTGCCCCGCGCATGTCCGCATCATATTGATTTTGTATTGCGACCCCAGACCGAGCGCGCCGCGCATGTCGACTGGTTCACTGTTCGCTAAAACTGACATCGATCAAGTTTCCTCCCGTCGCGTCGGCTCTGTTTTGTTAGCAACTGTTTTGCAATATAAAAGCGATTTTTGTCACAATTGTACCATTGTTTTGAGTGAAGGTGAACAGAGCATGTTGACTAGTCGAACAGTAATTAACAAAGTAATGGTTGCAGCATGGCAGCTCATATCCCGGGGTCTCACTCCGATCACGTTTTTACTGCATAGATGTGTGAACGAGCTCACATTTCAGTTCTTGTAAAGTATTCACCGCAGCACAAGCGCCTCGTATTGTGAATAACCAGCACCGACATTAAGACATGAGGTCGGAGTCAATTTGATTGTATGACCATAATCTTCATGCCGGAACGCGCTGCACGACAGGAACAGTGCAAGGTCGTACCATCTGCCCGTCGGACTTACGTATAACCTACATCCAGTCTCGGAACCGGCGTTTATATTCCTTTATAAATGAAATGGTTTTCGTTAAGACGGAACAAGTCATTTGCAACATTGGAAGGGGCTCTAGTATGCAATCAATATGTTCCAGACAGGGCGGGGCCAGCAGGGCTCACAGGTCTGAGGTGCGAGGGGCAGGGCTTGCGTGAAGGGGAGGTCAGTCTGTATGCATCGTTCCGCGCATGCGTCGAGGGGAGCCGTGCCGCAGTGCCGCAGTGCCGCACCCTCACTACTGGTTCGAAGCTGAATACCGGCGGACATCTGATGCTGTGCTTGTGCCGCCTCAACGTTACCGAGTTACTAAGTCGGAAGGTCATCAGCAGTCAGCATACAGTAATACAGAAACGTTTGAAGGTTTCAGATCTTAGACCCGAATAGCTCCATCGACAATCCATGTGGCACATTCGTGATCTACCCTGTAGATCCGGGCTTTCGTAAAAAACAAATCGAAAGCTCGTCTCTACAGGTATATCACGGCTGGCCCACGCCACCTTTTCTACAATTAGTCAAGAACTGGTGGCGATTCAACATGCGGACGGAGCCAACGAGCCAACGAGTCGACGAGGTCGCGCGACCACTGACCGCGGCTACCCTGCGTCTACCCTGCGTCTACCCTGCGTCTACCCTGCGTCTACCCTGCGTCTACAAACATTCCCATCGTATGCCTGATCGTATTCCTGTACATACTTATGCTACATTGTGTTATGTTACCTTACTTTCAACTTTCTAACAGTGTCGTTGCAATACAGTCTCTACTACGTTTCCCAAAAGAAGGATTCTTTGTTTTGAAAAACGTACCGAGTTTACTGAAATTAATAATGATGTATATGTTGTGTGTCATTAATGTTGTGCTGGTGATGGTGGCGAGGCACTGGCGACTACTGTTATTGTGAACTCGATGTTAATTTAGAGTCTTCTGTGGCGTTTGTTGAGCGCAATTACATTTTAATAAATATACTTTTAAAAAAATAAAATGTTTAATTATAAATCACGTGTCTTACTTCTCAAATCAATTCCTTTTTTATTTGAAATATTCTAGATTGTCTTTCTAACTCAATGAGAAGGAAATAATTCTAACCGATTTAATTGATCTTCGTGATCGAAGGGGTAACCCTGCAAAGTGGACTTCGGTTTCTGTTCCCGAAGGGTACTGTGACAGTCGGTATTACTATATCAAATTGAGGTGGTTAATGTGTACAGATTATATAGTTGTTTGAACCTAATAAATCAATAAATAAAACGTTAATGTCTACTTTGAGAAATGAGTTTTAAGACTTATTATAGTATGTACACCAATTAGCCCAATTCAGAATGAAGTTTCAGCACATATAAGAACCGACAATAAACAAAAAAATTTACTGAATTAGTACGAGCAATAAGGAGTATTAGCTACAGATCTTTTCTCACTGTTTTTTTCTCAGTCTCATCGCTCACAGAACCAATAGGGCCACTGTAGGGCCGCTAATAAGGTACTGCAGACATTTATTTTCATAATATATATATATATATATATATATATATATAAAGTTTTATAGCAAAATAGTTCTTGGGATTGAGTTATTATAAACTATGCCCCAGTACATAACAACAACAACATAATAGTATAAATAACAACAGTGTAAACAAGAGTGTCGTGTGGAGCTACTATTAGATATAGTGCTACGGAGGATGGTACTTTGGAGGAATTTCTAACATCATTACAATGTTCCAACAAGTTTTTGAGTTGGATGCACTCCCGAGTTTTATGACCTCGTAGACCAATAGTTACAGACCTCTTGTTTGGCCACCATCTACAAGCTATTGACATTCATTCTGAGAATTAAAATTCAAGCTCATTTTTACTAATGAAATCTTATCACCACCTCAGAATGGCTGCAAGACAGGACCTCGATCTGTTGATACGGCCTTTAGCCAGCAGGATCGGAACGGTAAAATATGGCTTGGCTTGATTATAAGAAAGCGTATAACCCTGGGCCTAATGTATACATAGCTAGGCTTCTAGCTTAGGCTTAAAAAATCACCGTAACCCCACCCCCGCGGTGAGTGAGATATGTGGGAATTGAAACCCTGGACCGGAGTCCTGTCGGGGCTACTGAGACGGCGGGACATAGTTCACGCAGAGCATATTACATCCATCCGGGATTCCATACATCCATCCACCCGCCGGGATTTGAAGGCTTATTAGGCTTAGGCTTAGGATATATTTAAGGCCCTACCACACCATACGACTCAACTTGGCACTCTCACACCCGACGTCCAGTCTCTGCCCAGGGTCAGAACCCGGTAAAAGTAGGCGGTCTCCGCAGTCAACACTACAACCAGACTCGCGGCTCCACCTCTAGAATGCCCGACTGACGGGTTGTCGAGGCGATCGTCGACTATCAATCCGCCGTATGGCTACCCGTCAGGCCTAAGCGATGACGCAGGTGTTCCAGGATACTCAACTGGGTCAGAAAAAACCTGCCGGGTCGGAACGCGATACAACGTCGACCGGATTGCTCTGCGACAGTATGTTCGGCGACGACAGCGACGAAGGCAATGCGGACCGAATCGCGGACCGCAGCCGACGATGCGCCGTCTCATCATCCTGGTGCCGGTGCCCTGGAGTGAAAGTAGCGTGCGACGCTTTTTAGTTTTTTTATTGCTTAGATGGGTGGACGAGCTCACAGCCCACCTGGTGTTAAGTGGTTACTGGACCCATAGACATCTACAACGTAAATGCGCCACCCACCTTGAGATATAAGTTCTAAGATCTCAGTATAGTGAATTCGTGCGTTGCGACCGTAGATAGTGGACGTCTCCGTGGTTGTTGTGGCATTATCGTTTCATTTAAGTTTAAATTTGTTAATTTTAAATTGTGATTGGTCGTTTTCAATTCATCGGTGGCTCCTTGTTCTTCCTTAACGTTTTTAACAGCTGACTCCACCTTTTGGGCGGTGTAACAGAGATAGAAGCTAGGTAAGA